ACCTCTATCAGGTCGCCCCTCACTCTTCGTCTCTCGAGGGAGTGCAAATTAAGATGCTTTAACCTGTCTCTGTACTCAAGGTTCCCAATGCCCGGGATTAGTCTTGTCATTCTCCTCTGAATTCTTTCCAAGGATTCTATATCCATTCTGTAGTACGGTGACCAGAACTGAACTGCGTAATCCAGGTGTGGTCTCACAAGCGCAAGATATAGTTTTAGGAAGACCTCGCCAGTCTTGTAACTAACACTCCTTTGTATGAACCCAAGTACTTTATTAGCCTTGTTACGAGCAAAAACACATTGTTTACTTGGCTTAAGATTCCTACTTATCATTACTCCTAAATCTCGTAATTAGTAAGACCCACAAGTTGTACTTTATGGGTCGTGATTGGTTGATGGCTATTATTCTACGCTGGGGTACGTTAGAGGTCGTACCTAACCAACAGGGGAGGGGGGGTCTCCTCTAGTATGCGTTAGTTTGAGGTCGTACTTAGATATCTTATTGTGTGTTGGGTGTTCTGATATTACACTATGTGCATTAGAGTGTGTTGGAGGTTGTACCTTAGATATTACACTATGTGCATTAGAGTGTGTTGGTAGATTTACTTGTGTTGGGGTTGTACTTAGATATTACACTATGTGTTGAGTGTGTTGGTTAGTTTGTTTGTGTTGGTTGTTTGTGCATTATGTGTTGGTGTTTATTACACTATGTGCATTAGAGTGTGTGGGTTGTTGTTTGTGTGTGTTGGAGGTTGTATCTACGTAGAGTAGGGTCTGCGTTAGAGTGTGTTGGAGGTCGTACCCAGGTAGTATAATGTTCTGCCAGGGCCGCCGTGGAAGATTAGTGCTACTGAGAGCCTCTACCAAGAGCGCTGGGAGGGACGGGCACTCATGTTGTGCTGTTTGGCCAGGAGTGCTGTGGGAGGTGAGTAGTGCTGATGGTGTCCAGTCGAGGTATTGTGGGTACCTCCAGGAGTACTGTAGGTGACAACCAGTACTCCTACAGGCTGCCAGGAGTACTGTAGGTGACAACCAGTACTGCTACAGGCTGCCAGGAGTACTGTAGGTGACAACCAGTACTGCTACAGGCTGCCAGGAGTACTGTAGGTGACAGTCAGTACTCATCAGGCTGCCAGGAGTACTGTGAGTGACAACCAGTACTCCTACAGGCTTCAGGAGTACTGTAGGTGACAGTCAGTACTCATACAGGCTGCCAGTAGTACTGTGACAACAGTACTGCTCATCTACACCTGTAGTACTGCTGCAGGCGACAACCATCAGCCAGGGTGACAGCCAACACTCGTAAGCTTCGCTAGAGCTGCCGTAGATGACAGCCAGCCCACACAAGCTCCGCCAGGGTCGCCGGAGAACATCATGAAGGATGCGTGACACCTTGCTGCAGGCGCTTAATATTTTGGCGCGCTGGGGTAGGTGGGTGGGTCGGAGGGTGGGGTGGGTGATTCGTTGGGTGGTTGGCTGGTCCTAACCTCCTAGACCCGCCCGCCAGACAGACTGTACCCACGGTGGCGTCCGCTCTCCTTCCCCAACGATTATCGGGCTTCACAGAGGGCGCCTTCCACCACCACCATCTCCTGCCTCATCGTCTTCTACCTACTGCTACTACCTCCTACCTCCTCCTGTTTCTACATATCTTCTCTCTCTCTCTCTCTCTCACCTACTTTCTTTAAACTTACATAGCGTGTTGTAGTATGTAGTTGTGGGAGATGCTGGAAGGTGAAATTCTGTTCGCTGGCAAAAGTAGTCGTCATCGAGGAGGAGTGTTCGATACTGCCTGGCCTTTGCAACCCTCCTCCTCCTCCTCCTCCTCCTCCTCCTCCTCCTCCTCCTCTCCTCTTCCTCCCTCCTCCCCCCCCTTAGGATCATATTCCCATTTTCCCTGATTTTGTGCTCTTTAGCCCGGCCGTGCTCTCTCTTTCCTCCTCAGCTGCCTCTTTCCTCTCCTTTCCTTCTCTCCTCCTCCTCTTCTTCCTCCCTCTTTCTCTTCTTTTAGTTTCTCTCTCTCTCATCGTTGTCCCCTTCTTCCTTCCTCTCTTTAATGCGTTCCTTATTGATTTTTTTCTCGTCTCTCTCTCTCTCTCTCTCTCTCTCTCTCTCTCAGGTCAGGTTTATTCTCTCTCTTTCTCTCCTCGTTTTCTTTTTCAGGGTAATTTTTATTTTCTCTCTCTCTCTCTCTCTCTCTCTTTTCTCTCTCTCTCTCTCTCTCTCTCTCTCTCTCTAAGTGCCTTTATTGCTCTATTCCTTTAACCTTTCCATATTCATATTTTCTCGTCTCAATATTCCTCCTGACCCTTGAGTTATTTCTTTATTTATATCTTTCTTTCTTTCTATCTTTCTTTCTTTCCTCTCTCTCTCTCTCTCTCTCTCTCTCTCTCTCTCTCTCTCTCTCTCTCTCTCTCTCTCTCTCACCTTTTCACTAAACCATTTTATTCGTTTTATCTTATCTTGGTTCATTTTCTTTCATTAACTGTTTCCATTTTTCTTTCATTTACTGTTTTTCCATTTGTCTTTCCTTTTTCATTTCTTTCACTCTCTCTCTCTCTCTCTCTCTCTCTCTCTCTCTCTCTCTCTCTCCGTTTTCTCTCTCTCTCTCTCTCTCTCTCTCTCTCTCTCTCTCTCTCTATCCTCCTACATCCTTTCTGTGGCTTACCTCCCCCCTCCCCTCACCCACCCCTCCCCACCACCTTCCTGGACACTTAAACCATTAGTGCAAGTACAATGTGAGTGCCACTGTGGGCGAGCGGGCAATAAGCCAGGCGACTTCTATTTTTGTTCTTACGGTGAAGGGAGAGCCTGGCGTTGTTGTTGTTGTTGTTGTTGTTGTTGTTCTTTTTCTTGTTCTTTGTGTTGTTTTCCTTGTTTTTCTGTGTGTGTGTGTGTGTGTGTGTGTGTGTGTGTGTGTCTGGTTAATGAGTACAGGTATGGTTGCTGCCTTACACCATTCCTTCCTTCCTTCCTTCTTCCTTCCTTCCTTCATTCATTCCTTGATTCTTTCTTTTACCCTTCCTTCTTCATTCCTTCATTCCTTCATTCTTTCTTTTTACCCTTCTTCTTTCCTTCCTTCTTCCTTCCTTCACTCATTCATTCCTTCATTCTTTCTTTTTCCTTCCTTCCTTCCTTCCTTCCATTCCTTCATTCTTTCTTTTACCTTCCTTCCTTCCTTCCTTCTTCATTCCTTCATTCTTCCTTCCTTCCTTCCTTCCTTCCTTCCTTCATTCATTCATTTATTCTTTTTACCATTCTTTCCTTCCTTTTTGCCCCTCCTTCCCTCCTTTCTTTATTCCTTTCTTTCATCCCTTCATTCCTTCCTTTCTTTCTAACCTTCCTTCCCTTCATTTCTATCTCTCTCTTCCTTTTCTTCCCTTCTCTTTTCCTCCCTTCCACTTTCTCTCCCTTCCTCTTTCTCTCGATTTCAACCCAGTCTCCTCCTCTCTTCTCTTCTCTCTTTTCTCTTTCCCGTCATCTCCTCTTCTCTCCCACCCTCCCGTCCTTCAACCCATTTCTCCTCCCTCCCTCTTTCTCTCTTCCTTCTCTCCCTCCCTCCTCCCCTCACCTAGGTCTTCTCCCTCACCTGGCGCTAATGAGAATAGAACAAGGCGCCATGCTTCCCCCTCCTCCTTTATCATAATGTTTACCTCTCTCTCTACTTTCATCATCCTCTCTCTACCTCCCTCCCTCAATCATTCCCTCCTCTCATTCCCTCCTCTCTCATTCCCTCCTCCCTCCTCCTCTTATTCCCTCTCTCCATTCCTTCTCTCCCTCATTCCCCCTCCCTACCTCCCTCTCTTATCCCTTCTCCTCCTCTCATTCCCCTCCCCATTCCCTCCCTCCCATCCTCATTCCCCCCCTCTCTCTCTCTCTCTCTCTCTCTCACCTCCTCCTCAGGGTCCTTACCTGTACCTAATTAACCTGGAGGTGAGGCGCCCCAACCCACAGTCTGGGTACACTGAGGGACTACCTGGCCTCCACCCCTCTTCCTCCTCTTCCTCCTCTCTGCTTCTCTCTCTTTTCTCTTCTTCCTCTCTTCTTCCTCCTCCTCTTTCTTCAACCTCTTCAATTTTCTCCTATTTTTTTTCACATCCTCTTGCCTCCTTTACCACCCCTCCTTCTTTCCTCCTTCTCCTCCTCTCCTACTCTTCTTTTCCCTCTTCCTCCCCTCCTCTTCTTCGTCTTCCTTTACCCCCTCCAGTCTTCCTCTTCCTCTTCCTTCTCTTCTTTAATCTCTTCACATTTCTTCTTCTCTCTCTTCCTCCTATTCATCATCATCTCCTTTACCATTCCTCCTCCTTCTGCTCTTTCCCTTCTTCTTTACTACTCTTCTTCCTCCTTCACCTCTCCTCCTTCTCTACTGTCCTTCTCGTTACTCCTCGTCTTCTCTGTGAAAGTAACTCCTTTACTTTCTATAACTACCATAGGTGAGTAATTAGTACCTTGCCCTTGAATAATAATTGGTATGCAAATTAGGCGATTATCTTTATCAGTTTTGTTTATCTAATTACTGAACTGTTGTTTGGTGGAATTTGTTTATAGTCAAGGAAATGTGTTTTGTTTACATCTTTGTGGTTGTGGGTATTGTTTAGTTGTGTGTGTGTGTGTGTGTGTGTGTGTGTGTGTGTGTGTGTGTGTGTGTGTGTGTGAGTTTTTGTCTTTTTTATTGTTTCCCTGTTTTGTTTACCATGGTGTTTACATCCATTATATCTCATTGTCTGTTTGTCTCCTTGTTTACACCTGTTTCTCTCACTCATCTCTCCTTGTTTACACCTGTTTACACCTGTATCTCTCACCCATTATCTCTCCTTGTTTACACCTGTATCTCTATTATCTCCTTGTTTACACCTGTTTACACCTGTTTCTCTCACTCATCTCTCCTTGTTTACACCTGTTTGCACCTGTATCTCTCACTCGTTGTCTCTCCTTGTTTACACCTGTATCTCTATTATCTCCTTGTTTTACCTGTTTACAAATATCTCTCTCTGTTTACAGGTGTGTCTCAAGATGTCGATGAACGGCTCCTAAAAATATATCCAGGTATGTTATATATTTTTGGTGGGTGTTAATTTTAGCTGTTTGCATTTTGTTAATATTTTTTGGTGGGTGTTAATGTTAGTTTAGTTAATTTCGTTAATGTACCGAATGTTAGTAATGGTGGTTCTCAGTGTTAGATGTTTTAATGTGTTTATATCATATGTTGAATTATATTGGGGGTTTTAATGTTAGCTGGGGTTGTTTTAATGTTAGATGTTAATAAATGTTTATGGCGAATGTTAAATGTTTTGGTGGGTGTTAATGTTGTGAGGTAATGAATGTTTAAATGTGTGTTAAATATATTGCGTTATTTTTAATGTTGAATGTTAATGTTTTAAGTTTTATGTTACATGTTTGATTAATATGTATTTAGCAAATGTTTAGGGTTTTTTTTTCATTTATTCGGATGTTACAGTATATGTATTTGTCACCAGAAAGTTTAAAAAATGGGAAAATATTTATTGCTGAAAATTATACTTTCTTTACAGTATATAGAGGTACTTTGTCTACTTTCTATAGATACTTTCTTTAATTTAATTCACATAGTACGTACTTTGAGGAGATACAGATAGAAAGTACTTGAGACCACACACACATACACACACACACACACACACACACACACACACACACACACACACACACACAGACACACACACACACACACACAGGTTATGGCATTGTTTGTATGTAAATTGACGACAAAGTGTTTTTGTATTATCATGGTATGTGGGGGGAGGGTGCACCTGTCCTCATGGTACACCTGTCCTCCACGGTACACCTGTCCTTATGGTACACCTGTCCTCATGGTACACCTGTCCTCATGGTACACCTGTCCTTGCGGTACACCTATCCTCATGGTACACCTGTCCTCAGGTACACCTGTCCTCACGGTACAACTGTCCTCACGGTACACCTGTCCTCATGGTACACCTTTCCTCATGGTACACCTGTCCTCACGGTAGCACTGTCCTCATGGTGGGGAGGCAGTAGTGAGGGTTCACTAGGAAGGGAGGGAGATGGACACTATAGGTAGAGAGGGATAGATGTACCTTCACCAATGAGAGGGAACTCGTTTAGGTAAGGATGGCTGTATCCCCCTCACAAGAGACGGGGAGAGGGGGGGGGGGTTATAGCAGTGGATGGCTCCCTGTAGTGCTGTGTTCTCCCTGTTGTGCTGTGTTCTCCCTGTTGTGATGTGTCTCTCCCTGTTGTGCTGTGTTCTCCCTCTTGTGATGTGTTCTCCCTTTGATGCCTCTACCCTCCCTGTTCCCTTTACTGGTCTCCCTTTGATGCTTCTACTTTCCTTGTCTACACTTATCCACCCTGTTGCTGCCACTACTCTCCCTGGCTACACAATTATTCTCCTAACTTCTCTCCTGGCTACACTTATCCTCCCTGCTGGTACCCACTACTCTCCCTGGCTACACTGCTGGGATACAGGACTGGAAACACTCATGGACGCACTCATGGACGCAAAGACGGCTTAAAGTCTGAGGGCTAAGAGCTAAGGAAGAAGCGGAAGACAGAGAGGAAAGAGAGAGCAGTACACAACGATAAAGATAAGACATGGGAGAAATTCTGTGAAGAGGACGACTGTTAAAGGTGAAGTGGCGAGGAGGTGGTGGTGGTGGTGAGGGGTAGTGGTGGTGAGGGGTGGTGGTGGTGAGGGTAGTGGTGGTGAGGGTGGTGGTGGTGGTGGTGAGGGGTAGTGGTGGTGAGGTGGTGGTGGTGGTAGTGGTGGGTGAGGGTGAGTGGTGGTGAGGTAGTGGTGGTGGTGGTGGTGGTGAGGTAGTGGTGAGGTGGTGGTGTGGTGGTGGTGAGGGGTAGTGGTGGTGAGGTGAGTGGTGGTGAGGGGTGGTGGTGGTGGTGGTGGTGGTGGTGGTGGTGGTGGTGGTGGTGGTGTGTGAGGTGGTGGTGGTGGTGGTGGTGGTGAGGGGTGTGGTGGTGGTGGTGGTGGTGGTGGTGGTGGTGGTGAGGGTGGTGGTGGTGGTGGGGGTGTGGTGGTGTGTGGTGAGTGGTGGTGGGTGGTGGTGGTGAGGTAGTGGTGGTGGTGGTGGTGGTGGTGGTGGGGTAGTGGTGGTGAGGGTGGTGGTGGTGAGGTGGTGGTGGTGGTGGTGAGGTGGTGGTGGTGGTAGTGGTGGTGGTGGTGGTGGTGGTGGTGGTGGTGGGGTGGTGGTGGTGGTGGTGGTGTGGTGGTGGGGTAGTGGTGGTGTGGTGTGGGGTGAGGTGGTGGTGGGGGTGGTGTGGTGGTGGTGGGGGGTAGTGGTGGTGGTGAGGTGAGTGGTGGTGAGGTAGTGGTGGTGAGGGTGAGTGGTGGTGGTGTGGTGAGGGTGGTGGTGGTGGTGGTGAGGGTAGTGGTGTGGTGGTGGTGGTGGTGGTGAGGTAGTGGTGGTGGGTGGTGGTGGTGGTGGTGGTGTGGTGGTGGTGAGGTGGTGGTGGTTCACGATCATCAACAACCACCACCAGCCAACAACCACCACAATCAACAACAACATCAATCAGCAACCAGGATAATAATCACCCCCCCCCTTTAGGCGTCTCTACCACAGGTGATCAATCCTTATTATTTGGTTGGGTCGACCACACTACCATTATCACCATCAGCACACTACCATTAGCACCATCACCACTCTACCATTTCTGCCATCACCACACTGTACACACCATTATCACCTCACCTCACTACCATCACCACCCCCACCACCACCAACCACTACACACCACCACCATTACCATCTTCACAACCAACACCACCACCACCCATCACCAACAACTACCACCACCACCCATCACCAACAACTACCACCACCACCACCCACCCTACTACCACCACCACCCACCACCACCACCACACCACCCACCACCACCAACTACCACCACCAACCACCACCAACCACTGCCACAACCACCACCACCCATCACCAACAACTACCACCACCACCCACCACCACTACCAACTACCACCAGCCACTACCACCAACCACCCAACACACCCACCACCTACCACCACCATATCAACACCACCACCACCAACCACTACCCCACCACCACAACACAACCACAGTAAACTTAGTATTACATAAGAAAGGTTTTTAATGGTTAATATAAGATAAAAGTCACATAATAAAAAATTGTCCCAAACGTTATAAAATTAGTTTAGCTTGTGATGAGGTTGTGTGTGTGTGTGTGTGTGTGTGTGTGTGTGTGTGTGTGTGTGTGTGTGTGTGTGTGTGTGTGTGTGTGACTGTATATATAGAATGTGGCAGTGTGTGTGTGTAGCATAACAAGCACACACACACACACACACACACACACACATCCCAACAAGAAACTGACAGTACAGGTAATTTCAGTAACTACAGGTAACTAATTAACGCCATTATATCTCACCTGTCGATAACTGATGCTAATGGTGGTGGTGTCAGGTGTCACTCTTGTTGACCTGACACTCAGCTGGTGTCACCTTCAGCGTCGCCGTCACGGGTGTCAGTCAGGGGGCCAGGGGGCCAGTAATACAGTAGCTGTAACCTGTAATTACCTGGGTATGTGTTGACGGTGCCAGAGCTACTACCATTACTACTACCACTACTACCACAATTACTTGTACTTGTCATTACTATCACTATTTTTACTTGTCATTACTACCACTACTACCACTACTTATACCTGTTGCTACTACCACTACTACCATTCTTAATCGCTACTACTACCACCACCACCACCATTGTTACCACAGGCATTACCCACACCACTACTATTACACTCCTAAAGACACTACCACGACTACCACCACTATCAACATCACTACCACTACCACCATTTCACTCTTATCATGATTATCACCACCATTACCACAACCATAATCACAACCACAATCACTACAACTACTACAATTATCAACGCAGCTACTACCACAATCGTAAACACTACTATCACCACTACCACAACTACCACCACTACCAGCATCACCTCACCATCACTTACCAACATGTACCATAATAACAATCCTCCCATGACATGCTAGTGTACGATTAAATAAATAAAAAAACGCTAATTCTCTACCTTAAGATTAATTACCATAAAGGAGAAATTGAAGATTAATAAGAGAATTAATTATATACGAAAAGAAATAATGAAATATGATCAAAAACAAAATATTGAAATTTTGGTGATATGTGGCAACCCTTCGTGACGTCATTATGGCTACCTGCACCTCCTCATTTTGTTGTCATATTTTGAGTCGTTATTTTTTTATATACATTAAGTTTATTAATTTTGTAATCTTGTAAAACGAAAAATAAAATAATATATTAGAATTTGTATTAATAATTACCAAAAAATAAAAAAAGATGATTTTAGTTACCTTGACACTTTCCCGTTCTTCTCCCCGACCCCTGTCTTCTGTACGTACGTCTGTGTGTCCGTCTGTCTGTGTTGTCCCGACGTTAACTTGGACAAATGATGGTGGATTGTGACCAGATGTCGTATGTGGGTGTGTGACTGTTAGACCTCAGAGGAGTTCGGTAATTGGTATATTATGATGGATGTGTGTAACAAGTATGTGTGTGAGTATATGGTAGGTGTATATGAATATGTGTGATAAATAACTTCCTCATACATAACAGGTATACACAAATAAGTACAGATTAAAGTATACAGTATACAACAGGTATACATAAACTAGTATATTTATCTGGTATACATAAATATAAATGACAGTTTTACACAAAATAGTTATACATAGCTTATATACACATCATTTATACATAAATATTACACACACACACACACACACACATACACACATACACACACACACACACAAATACACTACAGGTCTACAAAAAAAATAGTTTAGGTAGAATATTATACACTGTACATACAAAAAAACTATACATGAAATATTACAGACATACACACAACAGGTATGTATATACTGTATACACACACATAATGAGAACGTCAAGCTTGAGTGTATGTCAGCGAGCTCACCTCCCTCC